ATAGTTTCCTCAAGAAGTATATATAAATATATGTTAATATGTTATATGTGAGTTTGTAAAAAGGTGTAAATGTTGAGTGTTCATTTATGCTTAAGCATATGTTATATATGAGTTTGTAAAAAAGTGTAAATGTTGAGTGTGAGTCTATGCTTAATGTATATGGTGAAGGAACCTGAGATACAGAAGGTAGTGTCCTAGCAGACTGCTTGATTTTCAAAAGCTCCAGAAGCCGATGAGAAGCTAAGAATTGCAGATTCCAGAGCCAGCACAATCACAGCCAGGCATCTGTAGCTGAGACCCATTGGAAAATCAACACAACACAGAAAAAACTGAGCTAGCAGCAAAAAACGGTACAGTCTAAAATGCTACTGTAACTAAAAATGTCTCTGGCTTGAGAATGAAAGTTGCAGAGACACTTGTTTGAACTAAAATTGTTAACTGCAAAAAGCTTTGGTTGTAAAGCGATTCTTCATATTTGAAAATGGAAGTCTAGTACCAGAATTTATTTGAACTTTTTGAACTTAAAAAAATGAGATATAACTACAAAAGAGTTTTGGTTATGGATTTCTTCATATTTGGAAGGCATATACCAGAATTTATTATTTGAATTTTAGGACTTAAAAAATGAAATGAACAATGGTGATTTGATTGCAATGGGTCAATTTTGATTTTACTTATGGTGATGACCTTGGAACTGTTTAAATGAAGACATTTATTGTTTCTACCTAGGCTCAAGATGCAGTTTTGTATATGCACATATGCTTTACAAACTGGTGATTCATAAATTGTTTTGTGTTCAAAATGGAACTGTTTTATGGAACTGTTCAAGAAAAAATGGAATTACTCATGGAAATGGTTTTGTATTACAAATGGAACTGTTTATATAGAGAAATTTGTTTTTTTCTAAAAAATTATAAAGAAAAGTGAAAAGTAATATTCCTGAGTCTATTTAATTTAAAAAATATTTTTTATTTGAGTGGATTAATTTTATGTTTTGTTAGTAAGAAATGCAAATGGTATACTAAGAGATTACTTTAAATTGTACAGAGTTTTTTTAAGAAATTGTTTTTGGAGGAATTATAATTGTTTAACTTTGGGGTTTTTCTAACTAGGTTTGAGATTTTGTTTAAGAAAATTTATAAAGAAAAGGAGGAGTTATGAGTGAATTAAGGTTGAATGTATGTTTGCAGAAATTATGTTAACCTATTGATATTAATGAACCCTGGTTTTGTGAAGTTAAGGAAATATTTAAGTTTGATGTGAAAACACCGGAAGTTTTTCCTATGTTATCTTAGCAAGAAATTAAAATGGTTCTATTAAGAGTTTAAGTTGTAAGACTGAGAAAATTGTAACTATATATAGCACCATTTATGTTAATTCAAATGGTTCTGTAAAGAGTTTGCTTTGAGATGTAAGAATGAGGGAATTATAACTATGTATAACAATATTTATGTTAACTTGTTAATGGTAATGATGAAGCTAAGGAATTATTTAAGTTTACAATTGCATCAAGAAAGTTTTGGTTTAAAAGGTGCTTGATGGAGCTAAGACTGCTGTAGTCACCGTGAACCCAATCCAAAAAAAAATTGCCATCTTTATCATCCTCTACTAACATACTGGGAGGTATGATAGCTATGGAGATTGCTGTGAGCTCTTAATGAGGAGTTGTTTTTTATATATTACAAAAGGGGAACCTGTGGGAGCCCATTTTCAGGTTTCCTAGTGGCTTTACCCAGCAGGTCTGCATAGAAAGGATGAACAGACCACAGGCCTGAGCGCAGGTGTCTGAGATGGTCTGCACTTGGCTATGCTGGGGGAAGGTCTTTTGCTCCACCCCTTGACATATCTATAAATACCCTAGGGCAGAGACAGTCAGGGCCTGATGGAATAGGTTCCACACCCTCTCAAGGCTATCCTGTATTTTCTATCTTTCTCTCCCCTATAATTCCTTCTATCTAATATTTCCTGCTGCTCCTACTCAAGAACACTCTGGGGAAGTGTGGAGGTGGTGGGTAGCCCCCAGACACTTCAGAATGCCCCTTGCTTCTGCTGTGCTTTCTCTTGCTTGCTGCTGTCGTGTTCTTGCTGTATTTGGCATGGTGTGATCAATATGTGGAAAAATCCTACTGTGTCTAGTAGAGTATGACTGTTTCTTGTGACAATCTCACTCCTCACTGGGCAGTTTACTTGCAGATCATAACAAAGGTGATTTTTATAAGAGCAATGGCACTTAGTTGGATAAAAAATATAACTGAACTTTCTGAGTCAGCCTAAAAGATTCAGGTGGTTAAGACAGTGAAGATGATTAGGGCAATGGTTCAGGCTGCTCTGATAATTGATACAATAAGAGATACAAAAGATAGTGTGGTGATATTTAATTTTTACTCTAACAAATAAAGCTTACCTGGAGATCAGAGGAAAAATCCAGCCACTATATTAAACATAGAAGTCAGCATTTGGGAGGCAGAGATTCATCTGGATCTCTGTGAACTCAAGGCCACACTGGGAACAGAGCCAGACATGGTACACACCTTTATTCCCAGCACTAGTTAAACATAGAGGTCTGGAGGTCTGTACAGGCAGACAGGAAGTGATAGAGCTAGGCAGAAAGAGGAAGTGATGTAGCAGGGCAGAGAGAGGAAGTGAGATGGCAGGGTGCAGAAAGAATATAGGTGTGGGTATAAAGGAAGTAGCTCTCTTTGGCTGAGGATTTCTAGTGGTAGAACATGGCTGGCTTCTTTCTGCTTCCCTGATTTCTCAGTTATTACCCCATTATCTGTCTCTGGGTTTTTTACTAATAAGACCATTTAGCAATTTGGCTTACAAGATAGAAATAATATGCCGTCCTTTTTTCTAGATGTAAGATTTGCACAAGATGGAAAATAAGAACAATAAAGTTCCATGGGTTATAGACCCATGAATTCTGCCTGTGGAAAAACAGGATGATGATCAACTAAAGCAATTATGTCCCTACACCCAAGGTTAGGTCTGAGTTCCTTGGTCATATAGCTTACAGAGTTAATCACAGGTTCAGTATGCATCTTGAAAAAACAAAGTTGTGAAAGGAGATTAAATGACCCTACTGCGTGAGAAGAAAAAAGAAATATAGATGTTAGCTAGACCACTTGTTTAAGTTTCTGTAGACTAGAAATAGGATAGGAATCTGTGCCACTGAAACCACAATCAGCTGCCTGCCAGTACAAAAGGGACTGGCTGAAATGTACTTGCCTTGCTTTAAACTTTGTTAATTAACAATAAAAGAATCATTGCTCTTGGGTGAAGGTGTTGTGGTGGAAAAATTAATACAAAGGAAAATGTTTAACTATGTGTGGGCTTCTAAGAAAAACATGTAACTTGTGATCATAATGTGATTTGTTCCTATGTAAAAATTTTAATTTGTTTTTAGAAAATATGTAACTTGTGGTTGTTAGGTAATCTTCTCTTGTGTAGAGACTTTTGTCTTAGGTGGTATATAAGGTATAAGAGAAAAATAAGAGACAGAAGGAGGAGGAGGAGGAGGAGGAGGAGGAGGAGGAGGAGGAGGAAAAAGAGAAAAGTAATATGAAGTATTGCTTTGCCCCCTCACATAAGTGTCCTGTGTGTTTAGTAGTCACTGACTCCACATCTCCTCTCTAGTTTCTCTGACTTGCTGAAGCTGGACTTTGGCAATACATCATCATCATCATCATCATCATCATCATTATTTTACATCCCAACTATAGTTTCCCTCCCTCCTCTCCTTTCAGTCCCTCCCCTATCCCTGCTCTGCCTCCCTAATTCACTCCTCCATTTCTATTCAGAAAAGGGCAGGACCCCATGTATATCAACCAAACATGGCATATCAAGTTGTAAAAGCAGATATCCCCAATTGGATTAAACCTGGTATGAGGAATAGGGTCCCAAAAGCTGGCAAAAGAGACAGAGATAGCTCCTGCTTCCACTGGTAGAAGTCCCACAAGGAGACCAAGCTGCACAACTGTAACATATATGCAGAGGGCCTGTGTCAGTACCATGTAGGCTACCTGGTTGTTGATTGAGTCTCTGTGAGTCCCTTGGAGCATAGGTTAGCTGATTCTGTGGGTTTTCTTATTGTGTTCTTGAGATCTCAGGCTCCTAACAATCCTTCCTCTCCCTTTTTGTCAGGATTCTCTGAGTTCTGCCTAATGCTTGGCTATGAGTTTCTGCATCTGTTTCCAGCAGTTGCTGAATGAAGTCTCTCTGATGACAACTGTTGTAGACACTAATCTATGAATGGAAGATTATGAGAATGAACCATTGTCATGACATACAATCTTAAAGAACCAGAGTTTTTAATGTCCCTCTCATATGTGAGAAGGTTTAACAGAATAATTAATTTATTTCATTTTTAATTTAAAAAGTTTCCTCATATGGTGTAATTTGATTAGGGTTTTCTCTTTGCAATCATTTTTGAGATCCTTTCCCTCCTACAAGCTCACCCAACTGTACAGGCATTTGTTCATCACACCCAGCCCATGAAAACTTTTAAAATTAACAAAATTCTGATAAGATAAAATGTACAAAACTAGAACCATACAAAACAAAGACTCAAGGAATAAAAATGTGGCATCTCTTTTGTATTGGCTGTCAGGGACAAGGACAGAATCTCTAGTTAGTGGAAAAATACAGAACCCCCATAAGACAGGGAACTAGATCATCTTACAGTCAGGTTGCCTAGCAACAGGACATTGAGGCAGAGCCCTTGACCCTTTCACCCTGTAAACATCCTATACAAACATCCTGTTAGCTTGCCCCACCTTATGCAGATGACAGCTTCTTGCTCCCCCCGCCCTGCAGGAACTATATAAACCCTCTTAGAGAAAAATAAAGTGGCACCTTGATCAGAATCTAGACTTGGTGTATTTCCTTGTATCTCCTGTCCCTATCATTCCATCCTTAGGGTGGTCGAGAACCCGTTGAAGCTCTGCAGGCAGGGTAAACTGGCACCCAACGTGGATGAAACCACCTCTTGAAGACTCGGAATGTCGACTCCCGGAGGAAAGACCAAGGCCTTGGTGAAGTTGTTGGATCCCCCTGAAATTGCCCGGTTCAGGACACGATCCCGGAGGAGAGCAGAGATGATGCAGGTAAGAAAGTGACGAGCCATGGGACAGGCAACTTCGTCACAAGATTTATTTATTTCTGGCCTAAATGAGCCCCTCAAGATACAAGGAACTAGGGTAAAGAAAAAAGACCTTAAAGCCTTTTTTGATTATTGATGATATTCTTAGGGTCTATAAACATTCCCCTGACATATAAGAGCTTATTAATATAGGAGAAAAAACTTTGAAAGAAGCCTTTCACTCTCCCTCTACCTGCCCTAAGACCCCCCCCCCCCAGCACTTTCTCGTCTGCCTTCGGTCTGTCCCTCAGATCACGACCTGCACTCTATGGAAGAGGGGATGCTCACAACTTTTAAACCTAGGAATCCTCAGGAGTCTGCTTTTGCCCATCTTGATCCCTCTCTTAAACTCTAACTTCCCTCTAGACCCTGCCGAGGAGGCCTCCCTAGAGGGTTGGTCCGAGGGTAGTGGTGTTTACAACTAATTGATCACAACCAGTTACAGATTTCTTTGTTCCTTCTCCACTCCCCCTACTTCACTTGAACAGCCGTCCTCAAAAACTTGGACACTAAAGAAACTTCTCGGTAACTCCCCCTATGATACAAATGCAACACAGGCAAAATTCCCTCCCGGTTGAGAGACTGTTCGGGCAGAAACAGAAGTACCTTCATTAAACACTTGGCCTTTGAAAACGCAAACACTGCCTGCCAGGAACTAGGGCTTGGGGTGCTTTCAGGATTTGCTGAGGCAACCATGAGTCCCCTGGGCGGCTAGAGGGGACGAGGGACATTTTGTCTCTGGATGGACAGTTGCCTGGTGTGCAGGACGGAGCCATCTCTGAGATCACATTTCTGCTCCAACAGAGTAAGGCAGGTCTGGAGGGGATGGTGGTGGAGGATCTCAAAGTGTAGGATTTGTTGGCCATGGTTTGTCTTTATGCGGGAGGGGGGGGGGCTGGAGCCGGCCTTGGAGGTGGTTCCCGGGACTGAAGTGCTAACAGGATTGGATGCTTGCTGTTGTGGAGGGTCCGGTCTTGGTGGCACTGGGGGGAGGGGAGCTTGTGGGGTGTGGAGGATGGAGGGGAGGGCCTTTCCACCTTGGTGCCTGCCGGTTCCTTCATTCATGGGCAGAGAGTCACAGGGGCTGGCAGGGGGGAGGAGGAGTCTGGGGGAGCCAGTAGCCTTCTGATTCTCATGATGTGAGGTCGGAGAACATTCAGCATTAACACCATTGCTGATCATCACAGAAAGACTAAATCCTGTTAATGGTGCCATAAAAGAGATACACTCTGCTCCCAGATAGTTGCCGGAACACCTGGTTAGAGCTTTAAATATACCTGATCTGCCCAGGAGAGATAGCCCTTCTCCTGAGGAAACTTCTTCTGTTTCAAATGCTGTCCCTCCGTCAAGCCCTCCAGGCTGTTGTCCTCGCCCACAGCAACCCCCACCAGCCCTTTAGCTCTGTTATCACTCTGCTCAGAATTCCTGTGGGGGGGACAGTGGGAACTTTACAGCAAACTGTGTTTGAGACCTTTCACACAGTATACAAATCCCATAGTCAATCACGTTCTGGGCTGAGCAGGGACACTGCTTGTCACAAATCCAGTCTAGAAAAAGAGAAAAAAAAAAGGAAAACAAGACCTTGGGTGGTTCCAGAATTGGTTTTCCCACTCCCCTTAGCTAACAACCCTTCTTCCCTCCCTCCTAGGACCTGTTGTAGGCCTGCTCCTGCTCCTGGTCCTTGCCTTTGGGCCATGGGCACTTTCTTGGCTCACTCAGTTCATCCGAAGCCAAATAACAGACCTGCTAGCCAGGCAGATCCAGGTTCATTACCACTGCTTTGCTATGCAGGACTCCAGGATTGAAATTTCCCCTGACGAGAGATGCCCCACACAGACCCCTTCACTCCAGGGAGGCTGCACTGCAGCTGGGACTGCACAGGCTGGGGACCATGGTACCCCAAAATCCCAAGAGCCTGGATTATATGCCCTGTTGCATAGCGGTTGTGCAGTAGCAGCCTTGCGCTTACCCATTTCCACTCCCTCAAAAAACTACATGGTCCATTGATTCCTGTACTATGGGGATGCCTGTGGTGCTTGAGTCTGGAGAGACATTCCCTCTCGGACCCTTTTTTCATAACCTTTAGAGGGATAGGGCCTCTGTAATCCTCCATGGAAAGCCTCTTTCAGAGCCCTCCTTTTAGACCATTTGAACCTGGTTTATGTTGGCCCTTAGATTTATTACTAAGAAGGGGGAGATGTCAGGGACAAGGACAGAATCTCTAGTTAGTGGAAAAATACAGACCCCCGATAAGACAGGAAACTAGATCATCTTACAGTCAGGTTGCCTAGCAACAGGACATTGAGGCAGAGCCCTTGAGCCTTTCACCCTGTAAACATCCTATACAAACAACTTGCCCCACCTTATGCAGATGACAGCTTCTTGCTCCCCCCACCCTGCAGGAACTATATAAACCCTCTTAGAGAAAAATAAAGTGGCACCTTGATCAGAATCTAGACTTGGTGTATTTCCTTGTATCTCCTGTCCCTATCATTCCATCCTTAGGGTGGTCGAGAACCCACTGAAGCTCTGCAGGCAGGGCATTAGCTGACTACATTTGGTCATGAGGCTTGCCTTAGAATGTAGTGGATACCTCCAATGACACTCCATTGGAAAATAATGATTTTCTTTTTCCCAGAAGTTATCAGTTGCAAATAGCTTCTTGGTTGGTGATGGTTCTTTTTGTCCCCAACCCTGTAACAATGCTAGCAAATTGTCTGGTTTGAACCTGTGAATGTCTTGTGTGTATGTTGTCACAGTCTCTCTAAGTTCTAATGTTGTATCAGTTCTGTTGTATCTGGAACAACCTGTTTCCTCTGAGTCATCCACTACTTCTAGCTCCTACAATCTTTCCACACACACACACACACACACACACACACACACACACACACACACATATACATATACATATATGTATATGTATATATATATATACATATATATATATTCTTGTACATCAAGGGGAGGGGCTTGATGAGGAGATCTCATTTAGAATTGAATACTTCAAAGTCTCTCACACTCTGTTCTTTGTCCATTTGTGGGCCTCTTTATTATCATCTCCTGAAACAACAAGTTTCTATGATGTGTGTTGAGTGAGGAAGTGATCTATGAGTGTAAATGTATTTCTTTAGGAGTCATTTTAATTCAATATTCTTTTATCTGAATTATAATAGTAGGTTTTCCATAGCCACATGGATTATCTAATATCAGGTGCCTTTCCATTTCAGCAGTTTTGTTTACTAGTTCCATCTCTTGGAGTGGACCTTGAATCCAATGAACATGTGACTGGTTACTCACATAAGTTTTGTGACACTGTTATACCAGTATATCTTATAGGCAAGTCACTGCAGTTCTAATGATTTGCAATATATGATATAATGGTCAGGTTTCTCTTCTCAAAACTTTTCAAATACCTTATAGTACCATGACCACCAGTCAGTAGAGGTGCAAAAGAGTCAAGGGCAAAAATTAAGCTAATTCAGTGGTCTCTACAGAAAACCACAACCAATAAAATGCGTTATTGTGGAGCCCAGTCTCAATTAACATATCTAAAAAAACATTCATGCACATAAGGCGAAGGGAAAATTGTGGAAAAGGGGACAGAAAGATTATAAGCACCAGAGTATTGGGGAGTGAATTGTGAGATTGTGTCTCCCAGTAATATCAGAACCTATATCAATAAACTCTCACCACATTACTGCCCAAACATGACATGAACAAGGTGACACCAAAGAACATGCCAAATTGGATGGAGAAAAATCCATGATGCCTCAACCCTACACAAAGAATTATGGGGAACAGGAAAGCAGAGAATAGGAGAGGTAGCATTACCCAGGAAAGGACTCAGCAGTGCCAAAAGTCAGCTGTGAAAGCCTACATTCATGTAGCATTTTAAGGACTAAATAAGTTAGATTTATGTATATGCATACAATAGTTGTTAGTGAAAAGAGAATGGGAATTTGAAGGAGAGGGGAAAGGAGTATATTGAAGGCTTTGGAGGGAGAAATGGGTATGGTGATACTTTATTTGTACTGAAATGTGATTTTAATTGTATGTTAATAAATAAAGTTGCCCGCGTGTCAGAGCTATTAGAGCCATAGCAAAAGCTGGGCATTGGTGGTATATGCCTTTAATCCCAGCACTTGGTAGGCAGAGCTAGGTAGATCTCTGAGTGTTCAAGGATACAGCCAGCATTGGAGACACATGCCTTTAATCTCAATACCAACCATAGAAGACCTGGAGGTCTATACAGACAGGCAGTGATGAAGCAGTCATGTAGTTCATTTTACAACCAATGAGAAGGCAGAACAGAAAGTCTATATAAAGACAAACAGACAGGAAGTAGGTCTCTTTCAGAGAGGTCTCTTGGCTGAAGAAGCTAGCTGCAGCAGGCGGGTAAGGCTCTTAGGTCTGATCTCTTGGCTTTCATCTTTGCATTGGCTCTGTGTTTCTTATTTAATAAGATGGTTGGTTACATCTACATTTGGCGCCCAATGTGACAAGAATCCATTAAAAACTGCTTGGCTTGGCTTGGCGGCAGGTCCAGCTTCTGGCCTGAGCAGCCCAGCAACCTAGCAGGGGTCCAGCTTGGGCCCAGGTCGGCTTGGCCTCAGGCCGGACTGACTGTAGCCCCAAGTGGTTGCACGCAGTTGGAGCTACTTGCTTAAAGCTGGTGCTACAAACAACTAAGGCCTGCCCTGCTGAACAGGACCCCTGCCTGTAAAGCCAACACACATGATCGGAACTTAAGGAAGCCAGAGCCAAGCCTTGACTCGACTCAAGCAGGAAAACGTGGCTAGGTAGCCAGAACTTGTGGCTATGCATTCTCTCTCTCTCTCTCTCTCTCTCTCTCTCTCTCTCTCTCTCTCTCTCTCTCTGTCTCTCTCTTGGGATTCACACCTCGGACACTAGGTGACTGTTTTGAAATTCCCACAGATTTCTACTGTTCTACGCAGACTTGAT